GCCAGTAATCTAAATTACCCATGCCCAATCTCCTGGTACCCTTGCCTTCTCCTGTCTCAGCATTTATCAATATCTTGGAATGCCTTCATTTGCATCCTCTGTTGAAATCCTTCCTTACTACTCAACTCACACCATTTTTTTCTCATAGAATTTCAGTTGAACGTGATGTTTTTCTATTCTTTAGAGTTTTCATAACACACTTCTGATGTGTTCATGACACTCTGTTTTGTATTCTAGTTTTCACATACACGTTCCATCTCCCTAACTGGATTATCAGTTCTTTGTATACAGTAACTCTGTCTTTTAAAAAACTTAAAAATAGTGGACAGAGTATTCTACTTGTAATCAGAAGGCCTGAGAATATCATAGCCTTGCCTTTGCATTCCCAGTTTCTAGCATGCACAGTAATAGGCATTTAATAAAGGTCTATTAAGAAGGACAAGAATTTAAGAATACCCTGAAAGATCAAGCTGTATCAATTGATAATGTATTTTTTTTCTTATCCACAAGGCAAAGAAAATAGAGATAGTGTGATGGAATTATTTTATATGCTGTGACTGGTCATTCTTCATATTAAGGTAACTGCTTAAGAAATCCTTGTTAAATTGATGGGGACAATGTGGATTATAAGATAATGACTATCTCTAGTACCTGTCTTCTGGGACTTTTGCTTAATTTTGTATGGAACCCTTGCTGTTGTCTTACACTAGGCATTATCCTATTGGGTATGACTCCTTTATCCTTTTGCAAAATCTTCCTTTTTCTGCCTTCTTCTGGGTGCCGTATCTGACTCATTCCTAAACCCTACTTTTGGAAAAGGTCCTTGGAGCCTTTTTGAAGTGCACAAAGGTGAAGACCTTAAAGCTTTAAGCTCTTAAACTCAGGAGCGGAAACAGCACTCAGACTTATCAACATTAATGGAGGTTTGAATGTGGAATGCCACGAGGTGAGATTGGGTGTGAAACCAAGTCCTCCCCTATCAATCAGCAAAGAGAAGAGCCAGAAAGAAGACACACCTGAAGTTCAAGTAACAGTGTTTGCCTCTAACAATGTGGGAGGGGAGGAGGAAAGAGAGGGAAGACGTTTATGAAGCGAGATCATATATGTCACGCCCTTCACAAAGAAGTTCAGAGTTATGTGGACAAGTTGGAGCTGCCTCTGAGTATCTGCCTAAGGCAGTGTCTTGACAGTGGTAACTGGAAACTTCAAGTGGTACCTCCAGTGAGGCAATTCCAAGGTCATTCATTCTAAAAGTAATAACTCACATTTCTATGGTGATTTATGGCCTCCAAAGCACTTATCACTCTTGTTCCTTGGGAGAGGTCATATGAATATTATTTCCCTATATTACCAATGAGGAACCAGGTAAATGATCCAATCGTGGTCACACAGCTAGTAAATATAGAGGAGGGGATTCCAACATAGCCCTCTTCCTTCCAAATCTAGGTGCTCTTTCCATTGTACCTCCTTTGGTTCCTTTCCTGTCCAGCCTTCCTTGCAATGGCCTGGCAATATATTATTTGATTCTGAAGAAGACAGATAGTCTTTGGACAGCCGAAGTGCTGAACTGGCATCCCCAAATATGGATAGAACTATAGAAAGATATCAAAACATTAGAGAGATCCACTATGGAAGATTTATAGAAATTAGACAAGACCCCCAAAGGCCTTGATGTGTTGCCATCTGTAACCATGAAGGTAAAATTAAGAAATTGATGAGACACTGATGAATCATGGGTCCACCAAAAAATACAGATATTTTTGATAATCAGAGATATCAAAGGAAATATCCTTTCTAATTTACTTTGAAATAGTGTCACATGAAAACGAATTCTAAAAATTATATTCAGAGATTAAAAACAGGTCATCAAGGAAAACATCTATATATCTACAGAAATGCTTTCACATTTAAGACAGGGTCCTTACAAATACCTAATCCAAATCCTATTTTATGAAATGGGGAAACTGAAGTTCAGAAGGCCTAATAAACCTTGCCAAAGGTCCCATAATGCATCAGTGGCAGAGTTAAAAGTGAACATGGCTCTTCTAACTTCTAGACTTTTCCCACTACCTTATCCTACATTGCCTCTAGCTCTAAGTGAAATTCCTTTCACAGCAATCAAGATTTCCTGTTGCATGATTATGAGGTCAACAAGTAGCTCCCTTTTTAGAAAAATAAAAAAAGGTAAAGTTAAATATTACTTTCAAGTAAACAAAGTTGAAGTACATCTTTGCAAGAAAATCAGATGCATTCCAGTATGACTGAGCTAGTCACACGCTGTCAGTGACTTGAAAAAGCAGAACCCAGGCCTGTTGAAAGCAGGTGGGGATGATTTTGACATTCCCACACCTAGGAAAAGAATGATCTGTTTACTCTCACCTCCCTTCAGGCAGCCTTTCAGCTTCTCAATGCAATCTGACTGAAATCTGAAGAGTAGCACTAAATCACTCTACTGAATTTGTCGATCCTCAACCTAGTAGAGTATGCCAGACAATCACCTGTAGGCATGAATACACTACTATAAGTCATTTAGATGTCGCGGGGTGGGGGGGTGGGGGGTGGACATTCCTTCTTCCCCTTTGAGATCTCCAGTCTATCAAGTCCTCTTTTTCAGAGGTCCCTTTCTCACTCTTCCTCCTACTTTGCCTCACCTCAGTGAACTTCTCCATCGTTTTATTTAACACAGCCTTTTTTTTTCTGTCCCCTTACTCCGTTCCGCTATCACTATCACTACTATGTCCCAAGTTTTCTTCAGTTAAATTTCTTTGGTTTAAAAAAAAACATGTCGCTGTAGCAATCCATCCTCTTTCATAATTGTCGGTAGCTGTGATACCAACATCACTGCACTATTTCAGAGTTCGAAGCAACCCCGGAGGCCATCTAGTTCAATCTCATAAACTAAACAGGAGTGCCGTCTACAAATCTTCAAGAAACAGGCATAGTCTTTACCTAAAGACCTCCAATGATGACTAACCCATGACCTTCTCAGGCAACACATTCCACCTTTGGGCAGCTCCAATATTAGGATGATTTTTTCCTGACATCAAGCCAAAATTTGTGTTTTTGTATCTTCTACCCATTGCTTCTTGTTCTGCCTTTTGGGGTGAAGCAGAACCAGGCTAACCCCTTTTCCCAGACAGTCCTTCAGATATTCAGCTATCAAGTTTCTACTCTGGGTTAAACATCCCCAGATCCTTCAAGGAATCCTCATATGACATAAAACTTTCAAGGCCCTTCACCATCTTTGTTGCCCTCTTCTGGATGCTTTCCAGTTTAGAAATGTCCTCCCCGAAATGTTAACGCTGCACAAGCTTAATGTGATCTGAATGTCTCAAAAGGAATCAAGTAGAATTTTGTCCCCCGTGGTAAACATATGGATGAGATAAGTACCTGAATGGGTTTTCCTTTTCCTTCACCTCCCAATGCAATCAGTTCTGAAAAATCATTGTTAAGGTCCTATCTTAAGAGAAAGGGTAGGTCAAATTCTTGTAGCTTGGGATGTATTGATGCTACATCCTCTACTAACTCTGCCATGTGGAGGTGAAGAACCTCTAGCCTTCACTGAGTCCATATTGTTAATCAGAAACCTTCTTCTGCTTCAGCCTTAATCCATAGTTGCCCCAGCCAGAAGGATGGAACTGAATAGACTTGACAGGAAAGGGAAGGGAAGAAAGGAGGAGGTGGGGAGGGAAATTACAGTAGGGTGCAGTTTTACAGGTCATGCTGCTCTCTGGTGGGACTTTTAAAAGGGGAGACAAAGTACTTTGTGGCTGACTCACTCTCAGTCTTCCAAGTCTAGTTGCAATGCAGCCAAGAAAAATGGAGAAAGCTGGGTGGGACAAGGTGGTGGGGAGAGGTGCTTCTTGAGGCCAGCCAATGTGAAGAGGCCCATCTAACTAGGATGAAATTTCTTCCACCTCCCAATTTTTTGATTTAAGATTAAGAATGTATAGTAGTGCTTCTCCACAAAAGTTCTTCCTGTCCCCCTCCACAAGAACAAAGAAGAAACAATGAGCAGAACAACAAAAAAGGATAAAGGGTATTACAATTTTAGATTCTATCACAGTGGGAATAGACCAGCAAATTGGTAATTACACTTTAATAACTGCATACAGTTAGATGAGTTTTTTGGAGATACATTGAGAAGTAAAGAAAAATTGAGGCCTCAAATGGATGGGAGCACACAAGTCAAAAGAGATATGAATTATTCTGGTGAATTAATCCATGACACTAGATAATAATGTGGAGCCCAGAGGCAATGGCCCACCCTAGAAGGTTATCTGTTAATGCTCTGGGGTGGAACTACCAGATGCATTTGAATAAGCTTATCAAAAATTTACAAACATGTGACCAAAATAACACCCAAGCTGAAGCTCCAAGCCACACTCTCCAGTAAAGAAATATTGTTCCTGTGGGAGCCAAACGATGGAGGGGGAGGAGGCATGTTTCAATACTAAATAGTGCTTCCAAATGACTGCTGGTGGTGTCATGGAGAAACTCAGTAAAATAAAGGACTGCAGATACATTTTAGCCCTTCAATGGGTACCTAAAACCACATTTCTTTGTTATGAGACTGTTTGAAAAGAGTTGCAATGAGTAATTTTTGTTCATTAATTTGTATAAACATAAATTATTAATAATTTGTAAAGTGGGTATACCCACTCTAAATTCCTGTGAACCTTTAAAAAAACAATCCTCCTCATTAGTTTTTGTGGTGTGCATATTCATGTGTGTGTGTGTGTGTGTGTGTGTGTGTGTGTGTGTGTGTGTGTGTACACAGCATCTTTCTTTCCCTAAAATGTTCTTTACCTTTCTTCACTGCATCAGGACTCCATTACAATCCTGTTATTGAGTCTTTAATGGAAGTGAACAATGCTGAGTTTTCCATAATAATGATATCCTAGATTCATGGATTATAATGGACATCATGTGTCCAATTAGACATGATAAAAACATAATTTAAAATCTTAAATCTTAAACAACAGAATGAAAAAGGCATCTTCCCATTAAAACAAAACATACATCTGTTTCTTTATTTGTACACCAGTGAGACAGCCTCATATTTATTCACTTCAGTTCTGCATTTGCACAAGAATGCAGTAATAAAATATCTGTACACTACTTCTGTTACAAATATAGATAATATTTAAAGAGACTTTACATATTCTAATGTAGGAGTTTCACGCTCTAAAATGGGAAGGAACACATGAAAATGCCTCACCAGTTGTCTCAATAAACAGTCCCATCTGTTTTCCTTGGTCTGAGGCTATTGTACTATAAGATGTTAATAGGAAGTAATGAAATGAAGTTATGTTAATCCCCTTAATTTTCCTATGAATTTACTAATGGCTTATCACCAAAATAATTACTAACACACTGTTGTTTTCAGACATTAAAATTAATACTAATTGTTAAGCCAATCACCCAGATCATTAACACATTTTAGTGTTGCCTTGGTACTTAAAACTAGCACTTGAAATATTTCAGGTTTTCTAATACCACTCCATTTTTAGCCTGGCTTCTTCCTGCAGAAAAAATATACACTGCAGAGTAATGGAAGCAAATGCCTACAATAATGGGAATATATCCTAGAATAGGTCATTAGTGAAAAGGAAAATTCTTAAGAGCCTTAGAGTATTTTTCTTCTTCAAAATCATTCAGAGATGATGTTTTATATACTGTCTGCCCCCAACCTAAGTTTAGAAAGACTGATTCAGCAGAAACAGATAGAGGGCAAAGAGAAATCCTTGTCCACACTGGCAATACTCAAGCTAAGGGTATTACTGAAAAAAATTAATTGCAGCTTTGCACACCAGAGTACACTTTTTGTGTGTTTGTAGGAGGGGAGGGAATGTTGGCCAGATCACACCTAACTGTTTAAACACCTACATTTTCTTTTTTACCTTAAATTCTACCAACACTTAACCTCCTCCAAAAATGTCCATATACTTTTTCTGTCTCTAGCAATTATTTTGACACATATTTCTGCTTTATCCTTTACAAAATTTCACATATCTTCGCAAAGATGTGATGGGGTTACTCACATATTTTCTCTTTGGGGATTAAAGACAATAACTAGGGGTGAAAATGGGACATAACAAGGGATAATGGCCAAGTGAGGATATTCAGTAGTAGATCCACAAAGACACCACAGGAATTGATTGCATGAAATATTTTTAAAATGAGAAAAAGTATATAATTGAATGTCATTGTCCTCTGGCACAACTGAAGAGTCCAGCAAAGATGACGTGGGAAAAAAGTGATAAGAAAAACTCCTTTCTCTTTACTAAGTAAAAGGAATATTCAATAAGGTGATCTGATGACCCAACCAGGACAGCTCAGGTCATGACAGAATGGTCAGCGTGACAGTGCCTTTTGTCCTCTTCAGGATGGCAACTGCTTCCTCATGGGTCACTCCTTCCAGGCTCTGCCCGTTGACAGCAATTATCTGATCACCTCTTTTCAGGCGCCCATCTTCAGCTGCAGCTCCCTGCAATGACAAAGAAGGGTTATTTATCTCCAGAAAACACTGCCTTCCCATTGTTGGACATATACCCCAGGAAGTTCAAGGCCCAATATATGTCAACAAATTTGTAAGACTACTCTTTATGACAGTAAAAGACTAAAAACCAGATGGATGCTCATGGATTCCATAACGACTGAAAATTATTATGGAGCAAGAATGATGAATATGAGTAAGCCAGAGAAACATGGGAATATTTGTATGGACTAATACAAAATGAAATAAGTAAAAACAAAAGGTTAATCAATACAATGACTTCAACAATGTAAATGAAAATATCACTATAAAGAAGCAAATCTCTACTCACCAGCTGTGTGACTCTGGGCAAGTCACTTAACCCCAGTTGCCTCCCCCCACCTCCCCCAAAAAAGCAAATCTCTAAGTAAAGGAAAAATCACTGATAGCCGTAGAAAATAGATAATGAAACATAACTACCTTCTCAAGGTGGTGTGGGAGAGGAACTACTTAGGGAAGAATGTTATATACACTGTGAGATGCTATCAGGTGTTTTACATAATTACTTTTCTTTGTTAAAAGGTGAGGTTCAGGGGCAGCTATGTGGCACAATGGATAAAGCACCAGCACTGGAGTCAGGAGGACCTTACTTCAGATCTGGCCTCAGACACATAACACTTACTAGATGTGTGACACTATGCAAATCACTTAAACCCATTACTTTGCCAAAAAAAAAAGGTGAGGTTCAATCAGCAGATGAAGGTTTGTATACACTGTTGATCCCATCTGAGATTCTGATGAAAAGACAAAATGTATTAAATCTACCACACTGCCTTGTAGTTGCGTGACACTGAAGACCTAAACCAGGGTTCAATTTTATTACATTATATCTACATTATACTCAGCGGACCATGGACACTTGATCTGAGAGTGGCATATATGTTAATAAAAGAGGAAAAAAAACCTTTTACTTAAGATTACAGCTGAGACACCAATGTGAGCTAGAACTTTGTGGTGTTATAATAGGATACAGAGAACATCTGGTCCAATCCCCTCATTTAACAGATGAAGAACCTGAGGCCCAGAGAACTGGAGTGATTTGCCCAAGGTTACAGTCACACAGATGTTACAAAGACTTCAACTGAAGCCTTTCCAAGTCCAATGCTCCTCCCATTAAGAAATATGGTTCTTCATAGAAATTCACAGAAATTCTTTTCTTCTTCCTTTTCTTCTTTTCTTTTCTTCTTCTTCTTCTTCTTCTTCTTCTTCTTCTTCTTCTTCTTCTTCTTCTTCTTCTTCTTCTTCTCCTCCTCCTCCTCCTCCTCCTCCTCTACCTCCTCCTCCTTCTCCTCCTCTCTCCTTCTTCTTCTTCGCAAGGCAATTGGGGTTGTGACTTGCCCAGGGTCACACAGCTAGCAAATGCCAAGTGTCTGAGGCTAGATTTGGATTTGTACTCAGGTCCTTCTGACTCCAGAGCCAGTCCATGGTGCACCCAGTTGCCCCAGGACTTCCTTTTGATAAAAATTTCCACCACTGTAGGATAACAGGATGACAGTTCTAGAGCTGGAAGGAACCCCAGGGACCTTCTAGTCTTATTCACTTATTCTATAAATGAGAACACTATGGTGCAGGGAAGCTTAAGTGACTTACCCTGCAGAAAGGATTAATCAAACCAAGATTCCACAACCTGTATTAGAATTTACAGAAAGAATATATAGAATTGGGTAGCAGATGTTTAGCAGCCCTAAAACATAGATTATTTCCTTTCTACCCATCTTTACTGCAAAGATCTGAATAAACATAAAGTACTAAGAAGCTCACTTTTGTGGAAAGTTAGCTAAGATGACACTGGGCATAAATCCTAATTCTAAATTTAGAAAGTCTTTGGGTGGTTGTGAACAGATCTTGATTCCACACTTGCAGGAGTAGATAGGTAACCATGTGCAGTGGAAAGAGTCGTACCCTTGATGGTTTCAGGCAGTTAGAAGAAGGGAAGGTTTGGGGAAGAAATAGTGAGTTCAGTTTTGGACAAGTTGAATTAAAGAGCCCATTGAGGCACATTCATGGTAGGAGCCCTGCAACTGTGAACAGATTTTAAAAATCTAGAAAACGTATGAGTAAATTATAATTAAAACACTTTAACACAGACACCTTGCCTTAAATAAATCTCATGTAAGCTGAAAAAACACCTGTTTTTTTCAACTATAAATATGTTTATATTTTTAGAGGAGGACACAGATAGCTTAAACAGATCTGGATAATTATGTCTGAAGCTAGCTTGCTTTCAGGTAGAATACCTGAAGTCAATGAAAACAACAGTGGTTTCTAAAACAACAAAAATTAACTTCCATGTTCACGTGGGCACTACAGAACTCTTGAAATCTCACGTTAAATTTTGTTAACAGATCTGACATCAGCCTCCTCGGCTGTAAGGTTGTGGGATTCTAATTTGTTTTTTCTATGTAGGAAATTCTGTCCAGGTGTCCTTCTAAAAAAAGAAAACAACTGCTTTTCCCATAGATTTAGAGGTTTATTCTCCAAACACTAAGACCTTGGGTTTTGGCCTTTTATCCTTTCCCTCCCTCTCATGACCCTTTCCAGTAGTGGATCTATAAGATAGTACACATTCAATTGAATGGTTAGAGGGCATGATGTGAGGATATTCTCAGACACAAAAATGAAAATATTTTAATAGTTTCACTTCCTATTTCTATTCGCACTTATTTCTATTCCTAGTCCCAGCTTAGTGGTATTGTTTGTTTTTTAGGTTTACTGGACACTTTAATATAATAATATAATATAATATAATCATTTTTCAAGAATCAGAGATGCTTTGAGCGAAAGGACAATGGAAAAACACTCTATGGTGGTGTGGGAACAGGGCATGTGTGGCAACATAGTAATGTAATGAATATCATTGAGGAAATAAATGATCAGAAAAGGAGGAGAAAGTCAGTTATGTATCAAGAGGAAGAGATGAAGGTAGGTACAGATCATAAAAAAGGCCTAGAGAGGGGACTCTTTATGGCAACTTGTTTGTTTCTTTTAAAAAATATTTTGATATTATTATTTCAATGTAATTAGTTTCTTTTAAAATGCTATATATTTTATTTTTATTAATTAATTTTTATTTTTCAACATTCACTTCTATAAGATTTTAGGTTCTAAATTTCCCACCCCCTTCCCTCCCCCGTACCCAAGATGGCATGCAATCTGATATAGGATATGCATAACATTCATATTAAACATATTTTCACACTAGTCAGCTTGTAAAGAATTAGAACCAATGGGAGAAACTATGAGAAAAGAGAAACAAACAAACAAAAAAAGAGTATATAGCAAGCTTCGATCTGCATTTAGACTCCACAGTTCTTTTTCTGGATGTGGATAGAATTTTCCATCATGAGTCTTTTGGAGTTGTCTTAGATCCTTGCATTGCTGAGAAGAGCTAACTCTATCAAAATTAGTCATCATGCAATGTCGCTGTTACTGTGTACAATATTTTCCTGGTTCTGACCCCTTCACTTAGCACCAGTTCATGTAAATCTTTCCAGGTTTTTCTGGAATCCATTTTTTATGGAACAATGGTATTCCATTACATTTACATACCACAACTTGTTTAGCCATTCCCCAACTGATGGGCATTCCCTCAATTTCCAATTCTTTGCCACCACATGTATTCTTGTACATGTGGGTCCTTTTCCCATTTATATGATCACTTTAGGATGCAGACCTAGAAGTGGTATTGCTGGGTCAAAGGTTATGCACATTTTTATAGCCCTTTGGGCACAGTTCCAAATTGCTCTCCAGACTGGTTGGATCAGTTCACAACTCCAGCAACAATGCATTAGTGTTCTGATTTTCCCACATCTCCTCCAACATTTATCATTTTCCTGTTTGGTCATGTTAGCCAATCTGATAAGTGTGATGTGGTACCTCAGAGTTGTTTTGCTCTGCATTTCTCTGATCAATAGTGATTTAGAGCATTTTTTCATACAACTATAGATGGCTTTAATTTCTTCACCTGAAAACTGCCTGTTCATATCCTTTGAACATTTACCAATTGGAGAATGACTTGTCTTCTTATAAATTTGATTCAGTTCTCTATATAGTTTAAAAATTAGGCCTTTATCAGAGACATGGGTTGTAAAAAAAGTTTCCTAGCTTTCTGCTTCCCTTCTAATCTTGGTTGCATGATTTTGTTCATGCAAAAACTTTTTAATTTAATGTAATCAAAATTACTCATTTTGCATTTCATAATGTTCTCTATCTCTTATTTGGTTATACATTCTTCCCTTCTCTATAGATCTGACAGGTAACTATTCCTATTGCTTATAGTATCAGCTTTTATATCTAAAACACATACCCATTTTTACTTTATCTTGGTATATGGTATAAGATGTTGGTCTATGCCTAGCTTCTGCCATACAATTTTCCAGTTTTCCCACGAGTTTTTGTTAAATAGTGAGTTCTTATCCCAGAAGCCGGAGTCTTTGGGTTTATAGCCATTGACTACTGTCACCTAAACCTATTCCACTGTTCCACTACTCTGTTTCTTAGCTAGTACCAAGTAGTGTTGATAATTGCTGCTTTATAATATAATTTAAGATCTGATATAGCTAGGCCACCTTCCCTTGCATTTCTTTTCATTAATGCCTTGATATTATGGACATTTTGTTCTTCCAGATGAATTTTATTATTATTTTTCTAGCTCTATAAAATAATTTTTCAGTAGTTCAATTGGTATGGTACTGAATAAGTACATTATTTTTAGGTAGAATTGTCATTTTTACTACACTAGCTCAGCCTAACCATGAGCAACTGAAATTTTTTTTTTTGGCAAGGCAATGGGGTGAAATGACTTGCCCAGAGTCACACAGCTAGTAAGTGTTATGTGTCTGAGGCCAGATATAAACACAGATCCTCCTGATTCCCACTTTGCCACCTCGCTGCCCCCTCAAGTGATATTTTTCAAATTATTTAGATCTGACTTTATTTGTGTGAAAAATGTTTTATATTTTATTTTATGCATTCAAAAACATTGTTCTGAAAAGGGGTCTGTCCACTTCAGACTGCCAAAGCTCTCCTCAAACAACAAAAAACACAAAAACAAAACAATGTCAAAAGCTCCTGACTTAGAGGAAGGAGTCTAACATACATTGGATCGTTTCTGCATGGAGACGCTATGGGAGAACACAGACAAGATTCAAGATTTGTACAGTACAAGAAGATATGGATATGTTGTGACTTGCATTGGTGAAAGGAACAATCACACAATAAGATCACAATTCCCCTGAAGTCTCTAAGTGAAAAGTACAAAGAGCCACTGGATGAGAAGCATTAAAAATGCATTATTATTAAGTGCCTTTTGCAAAGAGAGACAATTGTAGCCATTATGGGGTTCTATGATGGAAATGATATAACTAAATAAGGGAGGACATACGAAAGTATATGGTTTGTATATTCTGGAGTGCCAATGAAGGTGACAGAATGTAGCAGGAAGAAGTGCAGAGGTCAGAAATGATGAAACAAGGAGTCTAGTCCAAGCTCTATCAGGAACTATTTTATGACCTTGGACAAGCCATAACTCCTTTCTATGCTTCAGTTTTCTCAACTGTAAAATGAGGAACTTGGTCCAGATGTCCTCTAAGCTCCCTTGCAGGGCTAAAATTGTGATTCGATAGTTTACGCCGTGAACTAACAATTCTACCCAGAAGTCTCCTTCATTCTAGTGCAAACAGGATCCTTGACTTGCAAAGACTATTTTAATCAAGCATGAACTATGCAAGTTCCTACCAAACTGGTTTGGCCGGAGATTGTGTATCTCTCATACAAGGATCAGCTTAGTTAAATTTGAAGAAACACACCGTCAGGGGCTGGATGCTGAGTGATGAACTTTTTGTTGTTGTTTTTGTTGTGGTTTGGTCATAACAACTCACTGAAACTATTTACTGAAGCATAGATAGGATACCAATTGGCTTACTGAAGAAAGAACTCCCAGCAATGAAATAATGTACTCTATCAAGTACAACAATAATATGAAAATGACAAAAATATTTACATGTTTTATTTATTTTCAAGGTTTAGCTTAGCATTGCTATTTTGTTACTATTTTTAATAACTTAGGACAGAATCTGACATATAGTAAGAACTTAATGTTTGTTGATTGGTTGACTGAAAGGATAGGGTACCCTTAGACTAGCTGACATTTCTAAATGACAGACACTATACTAAGTGCTTTACAATTATTATCTCATTTTATCTTCATAACAGACCTAGGAGAAATGTGCTATTACCGAGGTTAATGACATGACTTGCCCAGGTTTACATAGCCAGGAAGTATCTGAGCCAGATTTGAATACAAGTCTTCTGACTTCCAACCTAGAACTCTACGACCTCTGGGATTCATCTATGTATAATAAGATATTTAAACTATTAAAGCTGAAAACTGTACTAAGACTTTAAGGACACCTTGTATACTTATGTTCTGTTTTCAATGACAAAAGGAGAGGTCCCGATGACTAACTGAATTTTACCTACATGTCTACAGAGTGTTCCCTTAGTATTACATCCAATTTCAATTTAGGTTCATTTCCCTTTAAATGTAACTAGGCATCAAATTGGACAAAAATATTTAATAGCTCATTCCTATAGGGAATTCCCAAAGAAAATGATCAACTGCTGGCCATTTGGCATTTACCTCAGGCCATAAACTAATAAGCCAGCTGCTGACCACTAATAATGAATGTTCAGGGGGAGAATGCGATGGTTAAAATGTGTAGTCTTACCTTTGCAAATACTGTTTTGACATAAATGGGTAAGTCTCCATGAGGGCTGCCGTATCCTCCCACTATACTGAAGCCCAGACCATCTGGTCCCCGGTCAAGGGTAATACTCTTATACTGAGGAGGGCTAAAGTAGAAGGAGAAAAAAAAAAGAGGACTTTTAGTATGTGGGTGTGGATTTGATATATATAGAATTATCTGACAAGAAAGTTAGTTGGTCTGCCCATTGCTGGCAGCAGGTATATTATGAGTAGTTTTTAACTTGCTAATGTTTGCTATGCTGGAAATTCTAAATTTGCATAATCTAATGAAATCCCACTTAACACCTTAAATCTATTACTCATTTACAGTTCCCTTATACACTAAGATATTCACAGTATGTTCTCACTCAGCTCAGAAGTTTATTTGTTCTCTGCTTTAGAGAGAGAGGGCTGCAATTTAGTGGACAATTCAAGTAATGTGATTTATATGAGCATCCTACTGTGCAGAGACAAGAACTAGGTCTACAAGAAAATCAATGCCACAATAGCATGGAGCCATTTGCAAATACACCTCATTTATCTGTGTCATCACTTATTGTGTGATTCCAAGCTTTTGCATTCATGGAAAAGGAGATGAGGTAATTGTCAAATGCAGGGCTTACTTCCAATGGCTAGAGGACAAAAGACACAATGTGACAACTCCACCTCGTGCAGTGGGCCAGACACACCAGCTTGTTTAGCCTACCAAGCCAAGCCTGAGGTGAGTGAATATGAGATGCCATGTTCCATTTGGCTATGGTCTTAATCCGTTCAGTATCTATAACAGCATAGGGGCTTGACCTGTAATTTCACTAATGTAGGAAGTTCCCAGGGGTAGGTAAGTAGTACAGTGGATACAGCACTGGGTCTGGAGTCAAGAAGACCCATCTTCCTGAGTTTAAATTTGGTCTCAGATACTTACCAGATTTATAACACTGGGCAAGTCACTTAGCCCTGTTTGCCTCAGTTTCCTCATCTGTTAAATGAGCTGGAAAAGGAAATGGCAAACCATTGTAGCATATTTGCTAAGAAAACCCCAAATGGGTCACAGAGAGTCAGACGTGATTGAAAGCCACTAAACAACAAGAAGGAAGTTCCCAGTTAGAAGCTTCACACTTTCTCTGCAACTTAGTCTTAAAAAGTTGCTTAGACGATTGAAAGCTTATGTGACTTGCTCAGGGTTACACAGCAGAAATGGAGGATCTGAATCCAGATCTTCCTAGTTCCCAGGTGAGTTGTCTATCTACCATAACATACCTAAACCTACGCAGTTTTTCCATTCCATTATACTTTTTAACAGAGAATTCATGATGCTTTTGCCTACTTTATTATTATTATTTTTCATGTATACATCAGTGTTGCAGAGAATTGGGATGGTCATGGTATTAAGAATGGAGAATGAGTGGTTGGTTTTATAGGAAATAAGAGTTGTGAAACCATTCTTGCTTCTTCCTCAGTTATTCTTCACAATTCCACATTTCAAATGCTGAACACCCTTAAATTTTACATCAACAAAAATATATGAGCTCACCCCAAATCATCCTGAAAAATACTGTTTGATGTCAGGCCTGTCAGGGAAAGACCAGAGCCAATTGGCTCCTGTTGTGGGCTGGTGACCACACTAACATCTCCTCCAGCAACCACCTGTATGTAAAAGAGAGGCACAATAAAGTTCCCTGAGTTCATGTAACCAATGCTGATCACAACATCAATCTTTTTCTGTCAGTAATTTTAAAAAAATGTAGTCATACAAATTCAAAAGAATTTCCTATGGAACAGAGGATCCTCAAAATATTGTTATGCAACTGTTAAAAACTAAATTTTATTTTTTAAGTAACAAAAACTAACATTCTCTGCCTTCTACCTTTCTCTCAACTGAAAAAGAAAAACAAAATCCTCCTAACAAATACATATAATCAAGTAAAAGAAATCCCTATATTGATCTGTCATTAAAAAAAAGTCTCAATCTCTACCCAGAAGCCATTGCCTCTCAATCAGAGGTATATGGTCCATTTCATCTTGAGTCCTCTGGAATTATGATTGGTCACTGTTTGAACAGAGTTCTTAAGTCTCTCAAAATTGTTTGTCTTTACAATATTATTGTTATTGTTATACACATTGTATCTACAAATTCAAAGGTCTCTTTATTTTACTTAAATGATGTCTTGTATTACTCTTTAGAGTTTTCTTTGGAAATCTTGCCCTCTCTCTCATTCAGAAGCCTAAAAATAATTGAAAAGCAAAGTCTTTTAATTTTTTTCCCTAAAGGTATACAACATGCTTATTACCCAGGAGGAAAAAAAAATGAAGAAAGTATCTCTTTAGTTCTTGCCTAGAATAATTGAATTTATACATTTAAGAAGGAAATGCTAAATGTGAAAATGACAGCATTAAGGGTTTAATAGTTTGGGGTTTTTGTTTTGTTTTTGCTTTACATCACTTATCCTCAAGCAACCCATATCCTGCAAATTCTTACCTGTACTTGCAGAAAACCCTTACCTGTACTTCAATGGAGCCAGAAGCATTTTTCAGTAAACTCACTGCTTGAGAATGAGTCATACCCTCAGTTGAAGTTCCACAAATACTCACAATCCTATCCCCAACCTTGGCAAGGGAAAAGAGAACACAAACCATTATCACAACTAAGTTAGTGTATTCCTGAAAATTCAGGTATTTGGACCTCAGAAGTACTAAGATCAATTCCTTCTCCACTTCATTATAAATCATAATTCCCCACTTGCAAATTTTTAAAAGTACTGTAAGTTGGGAGGCAGAGAAAACTGTCACAGAAGAAGCAACTAGGAAAGCAGCAGCTGATGACTAAAAATTTTGGATATTTTAAAAATTCTTCTCTTCTGGGAAAGGCATTTCTTACCAACAGAAGAAGAAATCATAGAAGAGGGATTGTCAGTGTTGAAAGGGACCTTAGATATCTTTTAGTCTATCCTCTTTCTAGATATTTATGGCATTTTATGATAGCATTACTTATAAACTAGATTTTTGGGGATTTTTTAATTCAACATTTGAGGCATAACTACATGTGTACAATTAATTTTTTATGGTATCAGTTCTAAGGCATTTAATGAAAAAATAACTTAATGCAGGCTTTTTTAATCTAGCATTTTGCATCAGAGGAAAGCAGCTTGAGTTGAGATTTCACATTTCTTTCCCTTACCATTCAATTTTCTAGCCACTCTGGTCTACTTATAAATACAAGACCATTTGTCTCCTATTTCCATTCCTTTACGATGGCTATCCAATGCTCCGAGGATGCTCTCACTTCTCAATTCTTCCTCTTAGAATCTCTAGCAACCTTCACATCTTAACGCAAGTCTAAGTTCCCTTAACAAACCTTTTCAGTTTTCCCTAGTTGCGGGTTCCCTCTAACTTTGAAATTATCCTGTATTTATTTTGAATAGAATTCTGTATTTGCTTATATGCATACATTTTTTCCTCTGTAGTAGAATGTGTATTTCCAGTAGCACACAATAAGTGCATGATAAATACTTATAGAATTTAATTGCCTTAAACTGATACAGTTGGTGAATTTGAAGGCTGTTTCTTCCTTCATCCTTAATGGTATAGTCATCTGAAGTGTCTGGAATGCTATCTGGGCTGCACATAAGATTTTAGAACCAGGTTTTATCAGGTTAAATCCCTTCGGGCCGGCATTTCATCCCACACTAGAGCAGTTTCAGTATAACTGGAATATTCCTACAGAATGCTTTAATTATGTGGACCCATTTGTGGCAGCTTTTCTCAGAGATATATTAGTGACTGGATAATTTCACCCACACTTAATCTACCTCTAAGAAAAAAGATAAAAATTTTTTAGCCAAACTGAACAACAGATCTCACAAACAGAAAGCATCTCATAGGTTCCTCACAGAGAGAGGGGCTGCTAGAGTCAACAGGTAGACAACCAGGATGTGTATCCAAAAGAAGTTATAATGTTGTGATATTACATTGACCTTGGATAAAATTCATAATCTTATCTAACTCCTATCTAATTATCACTTAATTCAGGAGGCCAAATAGACTTTCAAACCATATATATGTTCAAACTCAAAGTAAAATTTAGTACTTACTGTACATTTTATCTTGCTATAGCTTTAATTAAACCAAAAATGTTAGATATATCTATATACTACTGCCTTTTTCTTGTTTGAAATTTGGAGTTATCAAATAATTTTCTTCTTTCATTACAGGCATTCTACTTTTTACCAGAAATACTTCTGCCCCAACTTTGACTTCTACTATTTGAGTTATAGAGGTTTTGATTTATAATCTAGCAATAAAGGTCTGAGAGAAATTTTGCACCAAATTCTCCCACCAGAAATATGTCTACAGTTAAATTACTCTGAGTTTTTGGGTCTGTGCAGCAACTCCATTCGGATGCATCATGGCAATGAATATTGGGACATCACCAAGTGGACTGCCTACGCCTCCAGCAATGCTGATTCCCAGTGAATCAGCAGGACCCTGCCAAGAGAAGAAAAATAAAATTTAAAAAATCATGCTTCATTTGAATTCTGCTGCATAATATTTCATAAGTGTATTCCTATCTTATGGTGGGACATGAAGAGTAGAAAGCCAGATTTAAGACATTTATATCTTTATCTGAGGTAGAAGCCATGACCTGTTCATTGATGATATTATTATTATTGCTATTAATAACAACTAATGTTTATAAGCCACTTTAAAGATTACAAAGCAATTTACAAATACCATCTCATTTTTAAACTCCAAACAACCTTGGGGAAGTAGTTAGGGCAGACTGTTTTATTCCTCCAAATCCTCATCTCTGGGACCAAAGAAATGCTGAGAGCAGAAGATTTCTGAGCAGAAAGGAGCAAGAAGCTTCAGACTGGTCCTTAAAGTGTCAGAGTTACTTAAAGGGGTGCCATGGAAGGTAAGGGAGGAAGAGGAGGAAGAGAAAAATGCAGGTTCCTAAAGGGAGAATGCAGCCAGGATCAATGTGGTGTGGCAGGAAAACAGAAATGCTCTGAATTCCATGCATAAGTCACACAATTTGTAGCACTCAGTTTCTTCATGAGTATATGCATTCATGTTTTATGCCCATCAGCCATTGAGCTTCCATTAAATGAATCACAGCTGGACTATAACAGCATTACTTACTCAAAGAATGGTCCTATCAAGTAAGAGAAAATAATTAAACATTTAATACATTCAGATTTTCATAAGCAAAACAGGAGAGTATAGAATAGTTTACCTGTCAGATCTATGGATAAGGAAAGAATTTAGGACCAACAAGGTATAGAAAGCATTATGAAATGTAAAATGACTAATTTTGATCATGTAAAATTAAAAGTTTTTGCGCAAACAAAACTAATGCAACCAAAATTAGAAGGAAAATAGAGAACTGGGAGAAAAATTTGTAACAAGTATCTCTGATAAAGGTCTCGTTTCTCAAATATTTGGAGAACTGAGTCAAATTTATAAGACTACAAGTCATTCCCCAATTGATAAATGGCAGTTTTCAGAAAAAGACAGCAAAGCTTTCTGTTACTCATATGAAAAAATTCTCTAAATCACTACTGATTAGAGAAATGCAAATTAAAACAACTCTCAGGTACCACCTCACATCCATCAGATTGGCTAATAGGACAAAAAAAAGAAAATGATAAATGTTGGAGGGGATGTGGGAAAAGTGGGACACTAAAGGACTGTTGGTGGGGTTGTGAACTGATCCAACCATTCTGGAGAGCAATCTGGAACTATACTCGAAGGGCTATAAAACTGTGCACAGCCTTTGATCTAGCAATACCACGATTAGGTCTGTATCCCAAAGAAATTTTTGGAAAAAGGAAAAGAATCTATTTGTACAAAATATTTATAGCAGCTCTTTTTCTGGTGGCTAAGAATTAGAAATTGTGGGGATGCCCATCAATTGGGGAATGGCTAACAAATTGTGGTGTATGATTGTAATAGAATATTATTGTGCTGGAAGATATGACAAGCAGGATGATTTCAGGAAAAAACTGGAAAGCCTTACAAGAACTGATACAAAGTGAAATAAGTAAAACCAGGAAGACATTGTCATAGTAACAGAAATATTGCATGATGGACTGTGAATGACTTAGCTATTCTCAGCAATATGATGATCCAAGACAATCCTAAAGGACTCATGATGAAAATTCTATCCATCTCCAGAGAAAGAACTGATATTATCTGAATACAGACTGAAACATACTATTTTTCACTCTTTCTTTCATTTTTTTGAGTTTTCTTGCCCAAAACGACTAACATGGAAATGTTTTACACGATTGCACATGTATAACATCTCAGGGAAGAGGGAGATGAGGAAAGGAGGGATAGACTTTGGAACTCAAAACTTAAAAAAAAAATTGGTTTTGCATGTAACTGGGGAAAAATAAAATATTATTTCAAACAGACACTCGGGTTTCTCTTATGTCCTTTTTAGTGGTCAAATTGAGAAATGTCTGCTGCAGGGAGGTGCTCAGTTTGATAATAAAGGAAAAGGAAAAAGAAGAAAGGTGGCACATTTTTAAAATGTGAGATGATTTGATTTTTGCAGACAAAATGAAAATTGTGCTCTTCACAATTTTTTTAAAGAACAAGTGAAAAGTTTCCAGATCCAATCACTGTAAACAAAAAGGCCTTTACCTTTATACTGCCTGTGAATGGATATTTTACAATACTTAATAGTTGCTTTCCTCAGGGAATTTTGCAATCTCTGCTTTCTACTTCTGCTCCATAAAACCAGGCCATATTGCACTAAACAAACATTTTTTCCCCACTGGGTATCTTAAAATGGCAAGACAGCTATCCAGAAAATGGATTTCACTGTGTCTCTCAAATGAATAGTTTATATGGCTTTCTGGTCCAATTTACCTTTTTTATTTCAACTGTTCTTAATCCTTGTATTTCCAAAGCCACTGTAAAATGAAAAAGGATGAAGTACAGTTATTACAATGATAATGTCAATAAAATAGGCTAACCCAATCAAATGAAGTGCAAACAGTGCCTGACATGGGGTGTGTTATGAGATGGGGTTGTTTTACACTTATTTGTTTGGAAGGACCACTACAAACCTACTACCTTTTTAATATACTTTCCTATTTTAAAAGTTAGAACTAACCTTATACCACCCCCACTTTTTTCCCTTGTCACCTTATATACTATGTAACTACATAATGTAGTCCACTCTTACTGAGTTAAGAGAAGAACTCTTTACAAAAGTCTTTTTACAAAGGCATGAATACACAATATCAGAGACTATAGTTACAACTTCATATAAAACAACCTAAGGATTCAAGTATTTTAATTTTGTTAATGCTAAACACATTTTAAGCTGAATAATTCATTGAAGTTCAACTCTAATGCCTTCTTGGGGCACAGAGATAACCCTGGGTTCTTGGGGGCTGTGAAGGTGACAGTCTCTGGTAGTCCCACCCTGTCAACAAGCAGCAGAGTCTCTGAATATAGAACCAATGACATACTAAGCACCTATCATGTGAGAAATAATCTAGCTAAGCATAATTCACCAGGGTCCTGGCTACCAGGTGATATACTTTTAATCTGAGCCAGTAGAAGAAGTACCTATATAAATAAAATTGTGGACCCCTGAAGTATTGAAAAAATGAAAACTAAGACCACCATATGGTTAGTTTCACAAATTTAGGCAAGCCTCAACCAATACTCGTGGCCAAAATTCCTCTAATGCAATTTTCACATAATTTACACATCAGAAGGAAAGCATGAATTCTCAGTTTAAAAATAAAATAATTATGGAAAAAATCAGTGTTTACTGAGGGAGCTCCTCACATATATGCAGGATTTATTTAATGTTAATAGAAAAAAAGTAATAAAAAATACCAAACTGCCTAATAAGAAAAGTTTATAGGATCCCAATTTAATAACAGTAATGATAATAACACAAGAAAAAGCATTGTAGTTCAAGAAAGCTGGGCTTAGAGTCAAGAAAATCTGGATTCAAATCCCAATTCTGACACTTACTAAATAGGTGACCCCAGGTAAGCCCCTTAATTTCTACGTTCCTAAAGTAACTCCCTAGGATTTAGCTACTTAAAGCAAAGTCTATTTGCATTTGCTAAAATATACACCATCCAAGTCCATCCTATTCAATCCTACTTGTGCAATAATAATAAGCCATAAATCTTGGCTAGAATAACTCTCTCCTCCATTTCCATCTATTAACATTTCCTTTCTTTAAAGCCCAATTCAGATGCCACTTCCTTAAAGCCTCTCTGGATCATTCCATTTCTGTCTTCACTGCGTATTGCTTTACACACACATACCTCCCTGGTTGAAAAAAGATCTCTTTCAAACGTTTTATCCAGGCTTAAAACTGGGTTATCTTATATTTTTCACTCTATCTCAACTCCCATATCAAATTAGTGGCCAAGTCCTGTGGATTCTATTATTTATTATATTTATTACATATGCTCCCATCTCCTCTGACACTTTACCAGTTTATAGATGAGTAAATTGATGCTCAGGGAGTTGATGTGACTTGCCCATGGTCTAGGTAACATCAGAACCAAGATATAAAACCAGTTGCCTGATCAGCACTTTACCCAGTAGAACACCAGACCTGTACTTTTAAAGTGTAGTCTCCAGTGGATATAACTTCACAGGGTATAATTTTGGAATAGAGCAGAACACATAAAAACTTTCCACATTATTAAGATATTTTAGAGGAAAAGACTGTAGATCAAGTTCAGTGGAAGAAAATCCCCCTTTAATTCACAATTTAATTCAAGTATGAAGTTAATCTTACAGGCATTCTTCTTTGAAACACTGTCAAATGCCTCTGATGCATTGGATCCAGAAACAGGGAAAGTAAAGGATGACAGACTTCCTTCACTCATCTAGAAAAAAAATTAGATCTTAATTATTCTTTCAAGTTTAGAAAATAATAATAAAACTGCTTAATTCTAAAATCCATTTCACTGGCTTCTTTTCATGCAACATTTAAAAAATAAGGATTGCACTGATAATGTTCTGTTTTGAAAGCTGATTTTGCCTTTTCTTATGCCATTTCATTTTTGCTGACTTTTTCATTGGCTAAATTTGCCAAATTACAAAGCTCATAGAATCCAAGATAAATCAGCTTTAACCTCAAAAAGACTTTGAGAGATTCTGAAGACAATATTCTCATCAAACTGGGAAAATAATAACATTTCAAGTCATGATACTTTTAGGTGATGAAATCATTATTAAAGGTCTACACAAAAAGATTTTGGGTCACTCGTCATCAGCCAGGGAAGGATGCCAATAGGCCTAATAAATAAACATGTGCACGTGCGCGCGCATGCGTGCACACACACACACACACACACCCTCTACCTGCTATGTGCAAGGAATCACTCTAAATGCAGTTAAAGAACAAGTTCATCCATTGGGATACCACCATTAAAACTTGAGAGAGGGAATTAAAATCAGAGGGAAAAGAGTTTAAATTAAGATAGCCCTGAGAACCTGAGGTACTGAAGAGATAGAAAATCAATTTTCCATATATTGGGTTAAAAAAGGATTGGATTGGTTCTCTTTGGGAAGTGGGGAAAGGGCCAACAGTTAGAAGTAACAGAGAGGCAGATTTCAACAGAACACAAATAAAAACTTCCCAATCGTTGCATCTAAACAGAAAATAGAATGGGATGATATTCCTCAGGCAATGTGAACTTTTTAGAAGCTGGAGGTGTTGAAGGTGAGGCTGGATGACGTCTCATTTCCAAGGAAGTTGTAGATGAGATTTGTAACTTAGATAGAATAGAGCTCCGAGTCTTTTTCAAAGTCTATGATGCTGTGTGTTTAATAGTGGCAAGGCCACCATTATTTAGAAATATTTAGATTCGTTTAGAAAACAAAAGTCAATTTCACCCCCCCAAATTTGAGGGAATATTGATTTTATGCAGGAATACAGGCAAAGACCTGGGGATAATATTGAGCTATCTACAAAATAATTCCATCTAGATTTTAGCATTGTTTTGTCCTCATTGTTACTTCCTCTAGTTCCAGGATTATGTAATGAAAATAAAATGTAGAACATTTAGAGAGGGTTGGCAGAAAAAAAGATTAAAAGAAGTTAGGTGAGAGGCTGTGGGGATGGAATAGTACCTATGGTGACAATATTTTTTGTTCTTTGTTTTGTTATAAGGGATAGCTTGAGAGTAGGGAAGGTTGGAGGAATATAGTTGGAAGTGAATGTGATAGAAAACAAAACAAAACAAAAAAGAACAATAACTTTTAAAAAAAAAAGAAAATGAGAAATGGAAAGGCTGGTGAAATGGGACTATTTAGTCTCCAGGAAAAAAAAAAAGAGAATTTTAACCATATTGAAATATGGATAAAGATTCAAACTGTAATTTTATTAGTGTAAAGAATTCCCAGGTGAAGGAATTCCCTCTACCAATGCAAGCTGGCATCTTTTATGCAATTTACAGTCTTAGGGTTGCCCAAAACATTGAGAGATAAAGTGACTTGCCCAGGAGAAACAGCTCTAAGATGTTAGAGGCAATTTTTGGGCCTAGCTCCTTCTGGCTTCAAGACCCTCTCTCTATCCAAAACACTAAACTGCTTCTATTAACTTCTTAATCTTGAAGTATTCAATGGAATAATGTATGTGTGGTGATCTCTGTGTCATTCATTTACACAAAGGAAATGAACTTAAATTAGAAGAGGAGGAAATTAAACTGGATTATTAAGAATTTTCTGCTTTAAGGTTAATAACATCAGAATGTGCTATCATAGAAGATTTTAAGGTTTCTTTCCAAGATAGTTTTGGTGGAATCCTACTCAGAAAGACAACAGATTTTTTAGAGGATATTTAAATTTTCCTAGTGCTATGAGCCCATGTTTTGTGGGGGGAAGTGTTTTCCAACAAAAAACAAAAAATGAAAAACAAAAAAAAACCCAACCCAAACACATTAGAAAATCACTTCTTTTGCATATTTCATTTTTTTTGTTACCTCCACAAGGACTCAGTGTCAGGGGTAACTATAAACTAGTTAACTAGTTTCCACACACACACACACATCCACATGTGGTTCCCTACTACGCAGTGGTTCCCTGCTACCATTAGAATAAGATATGAACTCATCAGCCTGACATTTAAGTCTCTGCCAAATCCATCTCCAACCAACCTTCCCAGCTTTATTTCACAGTATTTCAGGCAAAATACATTATAAGCTCTTCCCCAATCTCATCCTTGCTTCTCTCTCCTCCATATATTTACATAAGCCATCTTCCACACATGTAATGTGCTCCTTGCTCACCTCCTTTTGAAATATTTTTCTTCCTTTATGACCCAGCCCAAGTAGCACCTCATCCATGAAGCTTTTCCTACCCACCGGTCACCTTGTCCAAGTACCATGATCTCCCTACTCAATTATTTGGCCCAGATTTACTCTTTCCTCCTCCTTTTGATTATACTAACCTGTGTATATATTCTATCCTTTTTATTATACTGCAAACAACTTGAAAGTTTTGAAACTTTATTATCAGCCAGCACAACAATGCTTTTTATATAGTAGCTATGTAACAAATGATTAATGAACTGAATTGCTTGATGACTTGGGAAGTTTCAAATATCAACACTGTGTCTTGGTTTCTGTAGTCTTCACTTTGCTAACACTGTGTATTCTAATGATTGAGTGTAGCCTTAATATGTAACTCATGTTTTGGGGTTTTTTTGCTGGTCTGTTGATGTGTTGGTTAGCTTTACTGAACTGATCCCTCTCCCCCTCCACCTTTCCTTCCTTCTTTCTTTCTTTCTTTTCCTTCTTTCTTCCTATTCTTTATCAGATGGGATGACTCTCTGGGGAAGAGAGTAGGGAGAAATCTATGTAGAGATAAAGGTGACATAAAAGCAAAAGTTGTCAATATTTTTTAAATAAAAAGTTAAAAACAGGTTTGGCTATAAGGTAATAAACTGATTTTCATCCAGCCCTCCTTCCTCAAAGGAAAAAAAAAATAAAGTTTCCATATTCTTCACTTTCCCCTACCAATGACCTTTTGATTCAGTTCTGTCTGACCCTAATGGTCTTACAATACATTTAATTTATTTGTGGTGTAGGGAGGCAGAATTCTGCTCTTTGGAATGCCACAATTACCAACCTGGCTACTTTGGGATGTCCTCCTCTCTGAATGGAATGAACCTGTTTTGATTCTTCCAACTTCCAATCTTACTGTACCTAGAGAACACTGAAGAACAGAACACTGAAGAATCGTTAATTTTTATTGAAGTTTTTTCACAAAATGCTACATTCAGATTTTATGTTACTTTATACTTCCACAGGCTGATTTTTAAAAAGGTTGCCCCTTTTAGAGTACCTTACAAGCAATTAGCTCATTATGCAATAGAACAGATATAGATTGTATCTATTAAGGCAAGGGGAAATGGAAAGTTGGGTAATTAGCTAGTGAAACTCATTGATCTAGACAAAAAATATGAACTGAATTAAATAACTTTTTAATCCACCTCTTTTTTTTCCCCTCAATAGCAAAGTTATTCAGATAATTGCCCTCATTCTTCATTTCATTTTGCCTGAATAATACAGTCACAAAAGGCTTCCTCTTGTGGTTACAAAAAGATAAACAGAAACTTTGGCTTAAGATGCCATATTGCTAAAAGCAAAAGGAAAGCATTACAGAGAAGAAATATCTTTGAGATAAGAAATACTATAAAGGATCAGAAGAGCAATTCATGCAGTTCCATATTTCATCTTTGACCATGAAGCCAAAACTTATTTTGTAGACATGTAAAATACCTGCTACTTATAACTTCAACTTCGAAAGACTTCAAGAAAGAGAATATAGGATATGTGACTATAATTTCTACAGCTAGTGGGCCAAAAAAGGATCACAATTATGTTGGAAAAGTTTAAAATATTAGTTATATTTTCTAAAAATTGAGACAATGTGTCAATACTTTTTATCATAAATATAATTACATGCTAGTTTACTACATAGCCTACAAATATCACAAAGAAATTATATAGGAAAACCATACATTTGAGTAGTAATATTGTTACCAGTGACATCGGGTTTTTTAGCAGGTCAATGAGTCATACAAGTGACAACCTGAACAAGAGTAACAGAGTGAATAAAAAGGCAGTATTTGGTACCATGTGCCTAAATCAGGGAGATGGTCTTCCATTCAGAATAGGGCTGGTTCATTCTGGTCTCCTGGTCTGTCTCAACACACACAATTTCAAACCTCTAAAACAACTGACATGGAATGAAAAGTATGCAGTATCACTCCCAAGGCTCAAGGAGAAGGTGAAAGACTATCACAGAGACCAGAGGTCATAGGAAAAATACTCTATGTCATGTGTGAGACCATAATGTGTAAAGCACAGAGCATAGGCTGTATTTGGGCCTAGGTGTGCAGGCTAGAGAACAAGTATGTTTTAATGATCTCTCTCCTATTGTCTCTACTTGAGGCAGCTGGTGGCACTGTGGATAGAGTGCTGAGCCTAGAGTCAGAAAGACCTAAGTTCAAATCCAACCTCAGATATCAGTCATGTGACTCTAGGCAACTCATTTAACCTCTGTCTGCCTCAATTTCTTCAGCTGTAAAAAAATGGAATAATAATATCACCTATACTTCCGGGTTGTTATCAGGATCAAATGCTGGCTCTACTCATATTGCCCATGGAGAATGCTATAGTGCTTAGTGTATTTCTGAGCATGTCTCCCTGATGCTAAGAAGGATTGTTTCTGGAGCTCCCCCTTAATCCTTGTGTTTCCCTTCTTGGATTATCTTTGATTTATCTTGTACATATCTTGCTCAACGTAGTTGTTTGCATGTGGTCTCCCCCATTATTCTGTGAGATTCTTAAGGATGGGACTGGTTTTGCTTTTCTTTGTAAGTCCAGCACTTATCACGGTACGCAGCATGTAGCACATACTTAATAAGTGCTTGTTGGCCTAATTTAACAGTTGTGAGCCACACTGCTAAGGTGAATGAGATTAGGGGAACAAAGAACTTCAAATTACTTGGTTGTAATGACTATGTCCAAATTGCAGAAAATGAGAGGGCTTTTTGAGCCATTCCTTCTTGCTTAGGGCACAATGCAGGTAGAGTTTAAGAGGCCCTACATGTCCATGGCTGAGAGACCCTGATAATCTGTAAGGCTTCTGCATCCCTCTCTCCTTCATTAATTCTCCTTCTTCTGTTTGTCCTGTAGCGACTAGGTGATTAAGCCAAGAGTCAGTTAAGTAGAACAGGGTATAATAAGATTTTTATTTACAATCTAACCTCAGCTTCATTATATAAGTCTGTAAGTACCTGAAATTTTGGAGTTTGACTTAAAGCATGTCATCTTGATAAATCTGTACGTTTGTTTTAAGATAAAATTTCCCTGAAAGAAGTAGCATTCATTTTAGTTCTGTTATCTTCTAAAAATAGCATTTGCTTTTCAAAGACATATGTATGTGTGCCTGGACATGTGTGTACATGTGTGTGTGTGTGGTGTTTTACTGAGGTAGATTAATCTGTTGAAAACATTCTATTGCCAGTCATTTAAGCTCCAGTGGGGAAGATTGGCCTTTGGCCAAACTCTCTCCCTCCAAGAAATTTCTTTAACAGATCTTGAGGATGAAGATTTTATTTACATCATTAAGAGTCCATTTATAATACTCCCTATTACCCAACAAAATGTATACCAATGTTATAGATAATTGCCATAAGATTACCATTTTAAAACTATCAGTGAATTAAAGGATCTTGTTTATTAAAGTGTGATGAGATCAGTAACTGTTAATTGCCATAGCTCACTTTCAAGTTATTTTCTTTTCCCACGGTACTATGCAGCAATGTTATTATTAACTTTAAAAATTATTACCTTTAGTAATGCTGCAACAGCTTCCTGAGTGGCATTACGAACATCCTCCCCATTCACCATTAATATCTGGTCTCCCTGCATCAATCTTCCATCCATATCTGCAATTCCTCCTTTCACAATGTCTGACACAAATACTCCAGTATCATTTCTGTAAATACAATTTTTATTTTCAATTCAATTAATTTTTATTAAGTTCCTATAAGGTACATGACCCTATCCTTAGCACAAGGAATAAAAATCCAAGATGAAACATGACACATCTTTGAGGAATTTTTACAAAAGATCCTTGGGGGTAAATTATGGACAGGATACAACTGGAGGAAGACAACATGTAGACCAAGAAATAAATACAAAATATTTTGAGCAAGGAGAGAAGACTAACAACTGAGGAAATTAGAGAAGGCTTTTGGGAAAGGGCAGCAACAATGACATCATTTTTTCTTAGCTGTAATACAATGGTTATATAATGAATGAAAACTTCAACAAATCATTTTTTTTTTTGCTCATAGCTAAAGTTAGCTCCATTACTGGGACGTTAGGACATAATTATAGGTAAGACTAATCTTGAGGAAGTATTGTTAATATTAAAATAAACTTAAGGAATATTTTAAACTAATAAATACAGAATCTCATTATGAAGAGCTAGAGAGAACCTTGGAGGCCATATAGTCCAGCACCTCATTCATTTTACAGATGAGTAAACTGAGTATGCAGGAGGTCATCCTAGGCCCTACAGGTAGTGACAGAGACAAGACTTGATCCTGGTCCCTCCGATTCCAAAGTCCATATTTTGTTTTGCTTTTTTCCCACTGTTCCATTTTGCCTTTTAATCTATAAATAAACATTTATTAAGATCAAATGTCTGATGCCCATTTTCTCAAAAACAAAACACAAAAAACAAGATATTTAAAACTAGTGGCTAATTTTATTGTTTGGGAGATTTAACTTATCTATCACATAATATAAATACAAGTCTGGAAGTAAGCATCACATTACTTCCATTTTTTGGTTTTAATCATTGGTATAGTTGATTTGGAGACAGGTGGCTCATTGCATAGAGTGCTGGGGCTGGAGTCAAGAAGACCTGAGTTCAAATCTGACCTCAGACACTCACTAGCTCTGTTACCCTGGGCAAGTCACTTAACCTCTGTTTGCCTTAATCCACTGGAAAAGAGAATGACAAACCACTCTAGTAATTTAGCCAGGTTAACTCCATACATAGTCACAAAGAACTGGACATGACTGAACAACAAGAACACTGTTGATTTACCCATAGTAGACCCTGACTAAACCAGATTGGTCCTTCACAACCACCATTCTCCCCCCCCCCCCATGGAATAAGAATGAAACTCTAAATCTTTGCATATGAATTAGCTATTATTCTTTACCATAGGATACAACAACATGACTAAAATAATCATCACTGACCCACCTGTGTCAGTATGATACAGCAAAAATGGAATCCATTAGAATTAATGGAAGCTCTTAGAGAATAGGAATACTTTCTTTCCTTTCCTTTTCTTTTTTTAAAATTTCTATCTTTACTACCTAGCATAGTGCCTGGCAAATAGTAGGCATTTAATAAATGCTTACTGATACTTTGTGAAAGGACTTGGGGTCAAATGCTATGTGTGCCACTTAGTACCTGGGTTCTAGTTTCCTCATCTGTGGAATGAAGGAGACTGGACTTAAAATGACCTCTAACATTCTATCCACATCTAAATTAATAATTCTATGGTCGCAAAACAAGACATCTTAAGTGAGGGTCATTCTTATTCCTTGTTAAAATGAACTCATTTGCTGTAAGGGAAGATCATTCACAAGTGAATCCATGAGGAAACTTTGGGATGAGCATTCAGATGCATTTCGTTGGTTGTGGCTGGATTTACAAGTACTGAGGTTGCAATATAAAAGGCCATAGTCACTGAGATTTTAATTCATTTGGAAAAAGTCAGAAAGTTTCTTTAGGATCACAAGGATCTGAGGTCAGGAGGAAAGGCCAGAGGGTTAAGGATTTAGCACCCAGAGTTGATACCCTATAAGCCCTGCTGGGGAAAACCACCATCTGGAAGGCTTTGCTTCTGTCTTCCCTGCTGTAAAATGGGAAGACAATATCAACTCAGCAGGGCTTTTCCATTTTTCTCCTTCAGATTAATTGTTTCATGAAAATGAATTGCCTAGGAAAGGCAATTTAATTTTACAAATGCTCATTACCTTACTGGGCACCTGTGTAAAAAGCCCTGGTTAATTATGACCAAGGGGAGCACCAGAGACTAGAGGAATTATGAGGTGGTCAAGGGAAGATGTTAGCATTTCTTCCTTGGAGTATAATAAAACTTACAATGAGTAACTATCCCTGTCATAGCTGGAGTTTTAGTCCCTCTTACAAGAAGAGAGCCGAACTGGACAAATTCTCAAGTTCCTGTTCAAAAATTTTGATCTCACCATTAAAAAAAGCATTGCAGCAAACAGACATTTGCTTAATGCATATACACTTTATTGAGTGGAAATAAAAGAGTGAGTGTTAACTTTTATTGAACTATCTGACTACCTCTTAAGGGTAAAATGGGTTTATAAAAGATCTGGAAAAGGCAGGTTTTGTAACCTCACTTACATCATTGAATTGATGCAAAATGTTGGAGAATATTTAAAAGGAATCTTTAAGTTGCTGGACCAAAGTGACTAAAGCACAAAGTAACTTAGCCTATAACCTAAGTGATATAGGGATAGAGTGCTGGGCCTGGAGTCAGGAAGACCTGAGTTCAAATCCAGCCTCAGGTACTAGCTGTGTGATTCTGGGCAAGCCACTTACTGTTTGCCTCAGTTTCCTCATCTGTAAAGTGAGTAGGAGGAGGAAATTGCAAACACCTCCTCCGATGTAGAGAATAAATTTGCCTTTTCATACCTTTTTCCAACAATGCTCAATCCAAGTCCTTTTCCAGGTTTCTTTTGCAGTTCTACATTGAACATGTCATACATGTCCTCCTCCTTATATTGGGCCTCATCCCTGTAGATACTCAGGCGCACTTTCTGAGGAGTCTGCCTCAGTACATTAATAGCTTCATCATGTGTAGCATTTCTGAGATCAATCCCATTCACCTGGACCAGAATCAAACATGGACAATGAGAAACTAGGCTAGTGAAAAAGAATCAAATAACAAAACAAAACAAAACCAAACCACCTCCTTTTTCATAACCAATAAAGGCTTACATATATTCTCCAAACTCTAAATCCATACCTCTAAAATCTGATCCCCAGCCCAAAGTCTTCCATCTTTACAGGCAGCTCCTTCTTCATAAACTTCATGGATAATAATGGCGCCCTGTGGAGTGAGAAGACAATTATTGTTTTTTGTGTTCTCCCCACTCTAGTAAAGGAAAAAAAAAAAAGACACAACCTCAATTTGTTGAGTAACATGGGCTAAAGTATTACTGAATAAGATAAAAATATGTATGTGAGAGCATCACCTTTACAAAATAATCTTATGCAAACTATTGAGACACAGTGAATGGAGTGGTCAATTTAAGAGTCAGGAGACCTGGGTTCATATACCAGCTTGAACACTTATTATCCGTGTTACCAGGACCAAACCACTTCCCTTTTCTGTACCTTGGGTCCTTCATCTATAAAATAGGAACCATAATAGTTGTACAGCATGTCTTACAGGGATGTCAAGATGAAACTACTTTGTAAATTAAAAAAAAGCATGTATACAAATATTTGTTATTAATAGAATGTAAAAATTCAAAGCATACTTTTCAGACTAAAATTATTAAGGCACAACAGACATCTCTGGTACTTAAAAATATTGAAGATTAATTTACAGCTACCTAAACTAAAAAAAAAAAACCCTCACAAGGTATATCTAGGTTATCTCCAAAGTTATGAATACAGAAAATTTATATGAGTTGTGAATGAAAAGAAGTTTTGAAATCTAAGCATCAAAAAACTGCCAATCTCACAAAACCTTACTACTCCAAAATTATTTTTTAAAATAATGAGCAATTGAAGCTACCATCTAATCCAGAGAAGACTAGATGCTCTATTGTTTCTTATGTAGTAATAAAATGATATGGATTATAGTTCTAGAGTTAGAAAAAAGGTTGTGCTTGGTGCTAGTTCAACTTGGAGCTAATTGTTAAGTTTCCATTGTGAGCATTTACTCCTCAGAAATCAGTAAACATTACAAATCAGGCCTTGATTTATTGTTTTCTTGAATATTTGGACTTTAGAAAGCAATAGAGAAAATGTTAAATATGCAGATTATACTTAAAACTGTATCATGCATACATTTCCCCCCAACAGAGCCTGTTGGAAGTGACTTCAAAAGCCATATAATTGAACACCTCATTTTATAGATGAGGTAATGAGGTCCAGGGAGGATTAGTGAAGTCACATCCTCTGACTCCTAGGGCAGTACTCTCATCAAAGGTATGTCTGACTAGAAAAGGAAGCAGGCTGGTTGTGTAAAGAGAGAAGATAATGAACAGAAAATCCTAGTATCTACATGTTATTAAAATAATCTGAGTGAGGTCACTGGAGTACCAGATGGACTCTATAGAAAGACAGCTGCTAACCTGTATTGATAGAGAGATTCCTCTTCTAGGTGCTTCTTATATCAATGAAATCACAGATCCAGTCACTAACCCTTTAGCATGTATAGCCCAGAGCAACGCTGTGAAGAAGGTACTACACTGTACAGATATTCTTTATCTACACTTTGCAGAGGACGAAACATAGGCTCATAAATGCTAAATGATTTTTTCCATGGTTATATAGTGAATATTTGAACCCAGGCAATCCTGATTCCAGTTCCATCATCGTATCCACTCCGCTTGTTTCTTATCCTGAGGTATTTACCACCTAAGTGCTCACCAGCAAAGTGTCTGCTCCTCCAACGATGCTCAATCCAAGCCCAGTGCGTCCTTTGGAAATGTCAATTGTTGTTTCACAGCCAGGGATAATTGGACAGGTAGCTGGGTCAGAAGGGAAAGTAGCTGGGGTGGATGACCTGCTTGTACCTTAAAAGAGAAGATAAGCTTGACTCTGTCAACAAACTGAAGAAGTAGAAACTGAGTTAAAGTTGCAAGGATTCACTGATATGTTTTGGGAGGCAAAATCTCCCACCAAGTTAGATGATGTGTTATTCAAAGTTTTGTGATCATATACAATAATAAAAATTGATTCTATGAAATAAATAAATATTTACATATGGCTATGACCCACATACAATAAAAAGATAAATAAAAAGAGCTGAATAATCTGAAACTGTGGGGCACAAAACACCTTCAGCAATCTTTGGTTGGAGACCACACAACTATTTTTACTGTCTTTCTCTTTGATTCTATTCACATACATCTATGGTATAATTATTACTTGTCTATAGCATTTTAAGGATTATAAAGTACTTTCCTAACTTAATATTCCTTAGGAGATAAGTGCAGTCTTATTATCACCATTTTAAAGGTGAGAAGGCTGAGGCCCTCAAAGGAACATGTGAGCTGTATGACCTTGGGCACTGAACCTCTCCATTCGTCAAGTTTCCTCATCTATAACACACGGGGGTTAAATGCCATGACCTCAGAGATCTGTTCTAGCTCCAAATCTATGCTTCTATTATCCTAAATCATTTGCTCAAAATCACACTAAGCAGTGTCAATACCTGTTGTTTGATTTAATAAGGTGTTAAGAGAAAGTCTCAAAATCATAACGATTCTTCCCCTTCATGTTCATTATGTATAATAAAATTATATATTTAGCTTTATGATATTCTTCATTTAATATGTTACCCAAGAACCAGTTTTAAGAAAGCCAAGCAATAATAGCTTAAGTTTGAGATAAGATGTTCTCTTTTTAGGAATTACAGAGAGATAGACTACTTTCTTGGTTCTAAAATGGTAAGAACAGGTGTAAACTATTTTCTTCCCTTATGCTATTTTTACATGTATGATTTCAAATTATTTGGGGAATGCTATTCTGGGAACAGCAGGAAACTTAACGAAAGGGGAAATTTTCTAGAAAATCTTCAAACATATTAATGAATTGGCAAATGTTCTCTATATAAAGTATTTCTTTCATCAGATACGTACTATTTTGCTTTGAGATACTGTTTTGAACTATTTTTTGAATGTTTTGAACTACTGTTTCCCTAAAAAGCATTCCAAAAAAATGTGAATGTTTCAGGTTTTTTTATGCCAAAACAGATGAATCCTTTGGGGTTGTTAACATAACCAAATGGTTTCCCTACATTTCACAGTCAAGAACATTAAACAGTTTTTAAAAGATAAGATGGTGCAAACGCTTTAAAACGTGTTTCTGCATGAATGAGAGGTTTTTATACGAGAAAAAGTTTTCCTAAATAGATGCACCAACATGCAAAGGAATAGCAGTAACTTATGTTTACTGCACTTTAATAAAAAGCACTTCTCTCACAATCACATTTACCTTACCCCAGTTGTGTAGCATAAGTATTATTATCTCAATTTCACAGATAAGAAAGTTGTGACTGGGAAAACCTTAACAATTTTTGGTTAGGTAGGATACTTAGTATCTGATTGGAGACTCAAACCTATCCCTCTTAATTGCAGGTTCATTACTTTTTCTACTATGTCAAGCTGCCCTCATGGTCCACGTGGTCATGGCATCCTGATAGTGTTTAGACCATGTTATAAAAGGACACCTTCTGGAATTTTCATTACACTCCCATGACATATTCTCCCAACACTAACCTTTGCTATACCATATTCCACACTACTATTGGCCATGGTATAATGAGATTCCAATACATAATGGTATTATCTGAAGTACAAAGAGAACAAAATGATCCTGGTTTTCTAACCTGTGGATCAGAGAGCTAGTTAGGCTGGCATAGGGTTATAGACTATAGAGCTTTTCTTTCCCTAACAGAAAGAATAAAATGTTCAGGTCACCCACATTTTCCCTTGAGGCCATATTCCCAGATTGAGTAAAACAAGTCTGTGTAGGACCCCTACATAATACATAATGTGAAGGACATCCAATATGAAAAATTTTGACCTGGGGCTGTCACTCACAAGCATGCTTTTAGAAGCACTAGGTAGGCTACTGGCTTCTTTACAGTGATTATCTGCATGAATCAGGATTCTTATATACATACAGACTCTAATCTCTGAGACTTGAAGCTTGCAGTACTATCCTTACTTCTGATAGGTTCAGGTTCTGGAGATCCAGAAGGGGGCATCACTGGAGTTTGTGCTGTGTTCTTTTTTTCTCCAATGGATGCACTGAGGGTTGACTGGACAGGCTGGACTTCTGGGTCCTCCGCATTAATAGTAAGCTTCACTGTGTTCTTTGCGGTCTTCAAAAGATTTATAAACTAGTTGAATAAAACACAATTAATGAGCAAATTAAAGTAATGCAATCAGGACATTGATATTCCCAGAGGTTTATGCTTTCTAGGACTAAGAGAAGAAATGAATATATTTAACACCCAGTTTCCTCATCTATGTAAATGTAAATGTTGGACTAGATGATTTCCAAGATTCCCTCTAAGCTCTAAATATTAAGAATCCCTCTATTAGACTATATCTGGGAACAATCAGATCTGCGAATATATTAATAAAAATGTTACTCTGGTTATAAAATTGAAAGAGGATCTTGTTAGGATCCAAGGAAGTTTAATTATTTTCAAGGAAAAGTAACAGTCATTCAGTCAGTCAACCAATGAGTAACACACACACACACACACACACACACACACATACACACACCCCACACTGTATGCAAATATGTATATACATGGAATTACACACGTGCATATACATATATTATGCATACATACCAATCATACTTCTACATTCATTAACACACACGCACACATGCACACATTACTTGGCTATAACTGTTTGATCAGTCACTCTCCTAATTTTATAAAGGTACCTTTTCCACAGGATAGCCCACAACAACTTCATCATCCACTGCTAAGATCTGATCTCCAACTTTGATACGTCCATCCTAGGAAGAAAAAGGAAATTTTCTGATACTTTTTTTCTTTCTTGGGAGCAATACCCTATCTCTTCTCCACACATACATTATACTCTACAACAGCCATTATGCTAGTAAAATCTCACCTTTGCTGCTACTCCATGATCAGTTAGACTCTTTATGACAACTCCATTAAGTGTATCTTCTTCACTGATAGCAATGCCCAAACCCCCTTGATCCTAGAGAAATAAAGACCAGAGAACTCAGACAATTTCAGACAAAGAATTTTAATGTCCCCCAAAAGAAATGTGTACAGGTGTAATGTCTTCTGCTTGCCATATTCAACACTTGATAATAGAGAAGCAGCTGAAAATTCATTTAAAGCCCATTTTTTAAAGAACTTAAGATCTCTGCTCTTCCCTCAAGGCTTTATAATTTCCTTCTTAAAATCTGATGTATGTTGTTACATCTAAACCCTTTTGCAATTGAAGCAGAAATATCTGCTTAACTTTGAGTATAGACTCAGCTAACCGAAGACCAGCTGAGCCAATTTGAGAGAGGTTCATCTCTCGGTGGTTTCACACTGGATGGTGGATTTATTTTGGAGCCACAGAAAATGATCTCCTAAATCATGGAGGGGTTGTGCTGTGCATTAGTGGAATAAAAATCCACAATGATGAAATCATGCATCTTTCAAAGCACTGACACATGTATGTTAAGCAGCTAATAAATATGTATTTTTAATCTAACCAATAATATATGTGTAGAACTTGGAAATGTTATCTAAGACATCTGCCTGTATCCAGATCTGGTATGCCTTTCAGAAAATACGTCCTTTCTTTTCACCACTCCCCTTCCCTGTCCTATTCTTTTCTTTATGTTCTTCCCACTCAAAATAAGAGCTAATCCAAATGCAGCCATTAATCTTATCCTCCCTGTGCTAGCAAGGGCTTAGTATCCAGAGCCTGTTTCCATGGATACTTGAGTTTTGAGATTGCAGAGCAAGGGTGTCCCAAACTCTGGAGCACAAAGAGTCTCACTAAAAATCTGCTAGAGCCTCAGAATTGAACTTCTTTTATCCATAGTCTTCACATTTTCTTTTATCAAAACCAAATGCTTAGTAATATTAGCCTGTGATTCTCTTTACTGTTAGGTATAACAATGTTAAAATAGTCTCTTTGGAGTGTATCTCAATCTAACCAGAGCCAACAATACTTTTCTTTGTAATTTCTGCACAGACAACAGACAAAAAAGTGAAAGGGAGGATTGAGACCGTTCTCATTGCTGATTGGAAATGTATGTATGTCCTCCCACCCTTCTTTGCAGAGGTGACTGGCAATAGGTGTGGAAAGTCCCACACCCTGTCAGACTTGGTTGATATGCTGGTTAGTTTTGCTGAATTGTTTTCTTTTGCCTCAATTCTTCTCTAGGCTCTCTAGGAAGCAGGGGTTATATTTGAAAAGGAAAATGATGTAAAAGGGAAAAGATAATAAATACCTTTTAAAAGTATATATTGGAACTTTCCCTACTTTTGGAGAAAAACTATTCTAGAATGGCAAAGGAGTGCCTGACTCTCCTGTGAGAATTATTGCATTTATGCATTTTCTAAGATCAATTGTTTATTCCTTAACTTATTTTCCTTGGCCATTGACTCATAGGATCTCAGAGCTGGAAGGATTATGGGATCATAGGTTTAGATCTGGAAGGGAAATTACAGGTCCTTGTATCCAATCCTTTTATTTCACAGATGAGAACTAGAGAAATTAAGTGACTTGCCCAGAATCACAAAAGTAGTAAGTGTCTGAGGTGGGATTTAAACTTCTGTCTTCATGACTATAAGCCCAATACTCCATTCTCTATGCAACACTGCCTTTTTTCTCAGAGTTCACCTAGTCCAATCTATATCTAAGAAAAAATCTTAACCTGACCGTAAATGTAACCTCCCCTACTCCAGGTAGATGCTACCACCCAGATGCCGATGGGTACTCAAGGGCCCAATATGAGTAAGACATATGGATCCCTTCCCCTCTGTCATGCCAGGCCCCATGCTGGATTCTCTCTTCTGGATTAGTTCTGACCTCTTACACTCCACTCCACTCTACTCCACCTGTTCCTGAGGTAAGCTTAATCCTGGCGGCAGAGCCAAGATGGCAGAGTAAAAGCAGTGACTTGCTTGAGCTCTCCCCCAAACCCCTCCAAACACCTGTAAAAATGGCTCTGAACAAATTCTAGAGCAGCAGAACCCACAAAAAGCCAGAGTGAAACACATTTCCAGCCCAAGACAACCTGGATGGTTGATTGGAAAGGTAAGTTAGATCCTTACTCTGCTCTAGCCCTCTCACTGGTTCCACTCTTCTCAATAGCCATTGTTCAGGCACCATTTCTCCTTCCTTATCAATTGCACTACTGCTCTCCAGATTGCTAGATATTGCCATCTGATCTGTACACTAAGTATACACTGTATACTAAGGTCTTCTGGCTTATCAATGACATGTTCAATTTCACAGTGGCTTTTGTAAGTTGGCTGAAGCTAAACCTCTATATGTGTATTATGTTCCTAACTAGGATATCTTGAGAGATATCTAGCTTTGTAACTTGTATACCCAACATGAAGTAAAATGTTTGACATAGTATAAGCACTTAAAAAATTCTGTCTATAACATCCATGACAAGGTGTCATGAAGTCTACAATTAAAGAGCTTAGTTTATAGGAAACTCAGTTGTGGGTAGCCCATTTCACTTTTGGGCAACTAATATTTTGAGTAAATAATTCCAGTTATTGAGCCATATCCACCTATCTGTGATTTCCACTACTGTTATGGTTCTGCTCTTCAGAGCCTGGAAAAACAGATCACATCTCTCTTCTACACAATGATCTTTCAGATACAGGAAATAACTATTAGGCTTCCCTCAGTTTTCTCTTCTCTAGGTTAAACACCACCAGTTTCTTCCAAAAATCTTCCTATGGGCATGGTTTCAATGCACCTCATTCTGATCCCATTCCTATGGATATGCTTGTCAATTTCCTTCTTTGAAATGAGGTATTCCAGACTGTGGTCTGACCAAGAAAGAGTACAGGAGCTACATTCTTCCTTGTTCCTCATATTGTGCTTTTATTTTAATGCAACATGAAAGCTTTTCCCACTGCCACATCACACTATTGATTTATATTAAGCTGTGGTTCATTAAGATGCCCCAGTCCTTCTTTACCACATGTACTTTTGTCTAACTACATCTCCCAATTTTATATTTGCAGAATTGGTTCCTGAACTCAAGGAAAGGATTTATATTTATCCCATTAAGTTTCTACAGAATTAAACTTAGTCCATAATACTTAGCCATGGAGATGCTTTGGGGATTCTGATTCTGTCACTTAATATATTAGCTTCATGTCATTTATAAATTTCATAAACATACCACTTATGCCTTCAACCAAATTGTTGGTAAAAAACAATGTTGATCAGGAAAGGCCAAAGCATAAGGCAACCCATGAGAGATATTTTATCAGGTTAAAATGAATTAATTATTTTTGAGTTGAGTCTTTCAACCAGTTCCTAAGGTTTCTAACTATACAAGTAGCACTCCAACCCATAACTATTTATCTTGTCCATGAGGATACCACAGAGATTTTGTCATATCCCTTGTTAAAGCTCAATTATACTATTACAGCATTCATATGACCTACCAGGTTAATAATATTGTTAAAAAAGAAAAAAAGAGATGAATCTTCCATAATCTTTTCCAACAAATTTCAATAAATGTATGATGGCTTATAGTGATCCCTCTACATACTTGTAGACTACCTTATCAGAGAGTGGTACTTTAGAATTAATAACCAACAATTTCTCCTAGGGAGCTAGGCAGCTCAGTGGATAGAGCAATGGGCCTAGACCAGGCAGACATCATTTCAAATTCAGCTTCAGATACATATTAGCTCTGTGACCTTGGGAAAGCCACTTCATTTCTGTTTGTCTCAGTTTTCTCAAATGTAAAATTGGGATAATAACAGCACCTGCCTCCCAGGCAGGTGAGGATCAAATGAGATAATATTTGCAAAGTGCTTAGCACATTTGTACTTGGCACATAGCAGGTGCTATGTAAAAGTTATTATTGTTATTGTTTTATATTTTCCAATTCTATTGGAGCCAATTACGTAGACTACCCAGAGTTTTGAAGGAAAGAGAATCTGCTCACTATTGCTGGTAGACAAAACTTTCATTTTTCCAATTTAGGGAGTTAGTGAGCAGTTAAATTCTTATATAGAAGTCAAAAAGAATAGACTACCTAATTCTAATAGACTGCCTAAAAACAAATAGGAAAGTAAATCTTCTGAAGACACTACCTAACAAAAACCAATAATTTTCTATAGCTTTTGGATTTTCCATGCCACTGTCTTTTTCTATTCGAACAAATAATTGTGAATTGACTTTTCATATATTGGTAATGAGTACAAGCATGAAATCATGAAGATCAGTCATTTCTAGGCAAACTATTTAAATGTGTGTGTATGTGTGTGTGTGTGTGTGTGTGTGTGTGTGTGTGTGTGTGTGTATAGGCAGTATTTAGAAAGAGAAAGGAATCCTGGTTCACAATCTTGAAGTCATCTTTGACTTTATTTGTCAATAACTCTCCTTATCCCTTACCTCACATATCTCTTACACATCCTATCATTTACAAGTATCATTTTCAGTTCTTCAAAAAAATTTGGGACTTGGCTCCTCCTTTCCACTTCCACTGCAATCGACATAGTTTAGGTTTAGAGTCTCAGGGGTGGGGAACCTGCAGCCTTGAGGCCACATGTGGCCCTCTAGGTTCTCAAGTGCAGTCCTTTGACTGAATCCAAACTCTATAGAACTCTATAGAACTGGCCTAGACCTAATAATATACTTTCAACTGCTCTTCCTGCCTCTCATCTATTTCTCCTTCCTAAAGTGCTGCCATCATCATAACACTTCTCACAACCTACCTAGCCCTGACATTCAAGGCCTTCCACGACTGGCTTCAGCATCTGTCCAACCTCATCATTTCTTCACATAGTGTTTGTTCTGGGTAAACTAAATTACTTTTTATCCTGCCTTCTTCTATTTTCATAACTTTGCTTGTACTATTCCCAAAGATTGGAGGAAACTACCTCAAATATGTTAAAGTCTTATATTTCTTCAAGGCCCAATTCAGAGTACATGAAGACTTCTCCATTGATCCCCAACCTCATAGCTGAAAGCGGTCTATCAGATTCTTC